ATTCATGAACAAAGTTCATACTATCTTCTTTCTTTTACTTTATTCTTTTCTTTTTTTTGGTTTTTGGATGTAGAAAATTCTTATCATCTTTATTGGATTGGAAATATGGATAATGCACTATCTAGTTTGTGTAAAAACATTAAAGGAAAATTTTGCAACAGAGTAATGTAGATTTTCCTAATATGTTCACGGATTAATTAAAGTCAAAGATAATTCTTTTAAATGCTAAGATGCTTATTATATAAGTACTTCATTGAAATTATTAAGAAAAATTTGCTATTAAAATATGGCCAATTAAATATTAGTACCTTTGTTATTCGACCTATAAAAAAAATGATATGTTAAAAAAAGAGAAGGAATGATAGCGTGCGACTCTTTAATACTTTAATTTTTTAATTAAAAACCCTACGAATACATAAAATTAAAATACAAATAAAAAAATTTTTTTAGGGTAAAATATGACTAGGAAGTAATATGAACTTCAAATGTAAATGATGCTAATTTTTTATAACTAAATATATTAAAGATTACTTAAAATATAATAATAACACGAGTGGCATTACTAGCTGCCAAAGAAAATAATTGAAAAACCCAACCACTTGCTTTAATTAATTATAATTATAATTTTCTTCTCCGATTTCCCTTTCTCCAGTCTCTCCGAGAAATCAAACTTTTCTCCGTCGATCACAACCTGAGTCCTCCCCTTCCCTCTGTCCCGCCTCGCGATTCGTGTTGTGAACCCTCTACCTCTGCAAACCCTAATTAAACCCTCACTCGTTACCCCTATCTTACTGATTCCCAATCCTCCCTTCTTCTCTTTATCTTGGACAATCATTTATTGATTCTTTAGTAAACTATTGTCTGTTGTTTAATCAAGCATGCAAAATGGATTAATATTCCCTGGAATATTTCATGCAACAGATGCAGATCGAAAGAGGTTTTGGTATTATGTGCTATTATGCTTATTTTGCTTCTTGACTGTACATGTGCTTTTTTTTTTCTTGAGTTTTTGGTTTTGTATTAATATTTATTAGTTGAATTTCCTTCTTTGACAATGCAACCTTTTATCACTTTCAGGAATCGTGTTGATGATGTCTCGCTTGATAAAAGATGGTACTCTGCAAGGAGAGAAGGCTGTTTTCTTTCAAATTCAACTGAGAATGCCTAAGGGAAGAAATTGAACATACCTTGTTTGGATGAGGACTGTAATATCACCAGACTTGGCTGGAGAAGTAACCCCAATGACTATAGAATTAGTGATGGCTTTAGTCCTCAAGTGCACAAATGAAGGAACCTTTTCTCTATGCATAACGTCAAGCCTCATGGATTCATTTCTATAGAGCCAACGCCAATCTTTTGCTCTCAAATCCTGGTTGTGTTTGAGGCATGAATGCAAGGAAGAGGGAAAATGGATGCATCCCACGGTAGGAAAATTTTGGGCTTGAGGCAGAATGGCTTGGATAATGTTCGCAGAGGAATGGATATTTGTGGGGGTTCCTTATTGGGTGGAAAACACCTTCTAGGGTTTGGGCCCAGCTTGGGTTTTTTGGACCAAAATTCGAATTCTATTTCTTTGTCCAAAAGTAAAAGGAGCTTGGGAAATAACTAGCCAAATCATGCAAATAAGCCCTTAAACTTATCAAGTAGTGGCAAATAAGTGCCTCAACCTAAATCAGCGGCAAACAACCCCTTAAACTAGATAACAGTGGCAAAGAAACCCTTAGCTATGGGTAAAACCCCACAGATTGCCCTTCAACTTTTTGAGTGTGTGGAATTTTATCCCTCACCTTATAATATGTGATTTTATACTTTTTTGATATGATTTTAAGCCTCCTTGGTATTTGAGTATGTGAAACTTTATCCCTCACCTTACAACTCTAGGAGGGTATAACATCATAAACTCGAATATCAAGAGAATATAAAATCATAAACTCAAATATCATGAGGGTATAAAATCACATATGGTAAGGTGAAGGGTAAAATTCCACACATTTGAAAAGTTGAAGGGCGATATGTGGACTTTTGCCCTTACCTATGTGATGACATCATCAATCTGTTAAAAATTAATGGTGCTCTGGTTGAGTGGGATCAACTGTTGAGCTAGAGGCCATGTGGCTTTTTTTGAGCGTGACATGGCATGTTATTCCTACTTACTATATCGAATAAATAAATTAAAATAATTAAAAATAAACTAAAACTAATTGAAAAGACAAAAATATCATTCTAGACTCTTCTATCTTCATCTTCCCCTTCTCTTCTTCACTTCCTTTCCCTTCTCCGTTTCTCACCTTTACCCCTTAGAAGCTTCCTATGACACTGGATCACCAAATCAGGATGTATTGGCAAGCTTCGTTTCAATTAGGATCT